AATTTTATTATTTTTGACAATTTAACAAAAAAAAACTGAGTTATTGGCCCAGGCCTCCCTTGCAAAAGTGATCTGCAATCTCCGTGGAATTTGCCTGGTTAAATAAAGGTTAATAAATAAACAATAAATTATTTCTGTTGGACAAACACACGTTTTTTCTTCTGTATGTTCCACAGCGGTTCACTGTAACAGGCATGTCACCTCTCGGCTGGTATTAGTCAACTTCTGACCCTTAATGAACGCCATGTTGGCGAGGCTGTCTGACAGCAGCAAGGCTTAATGAGAGGGGCTCTCTCAGCAGAGCCGGTGTCAGACCTCCACAATAACCATGCAATACCCCTGCTCATCTCATTAGCATCACGCTAACAAGTCGTTCTGTGGAGGATGCCATTGGGAAAGTTGAAGTAAAAGAAGCAAGCATTACGTTGTTTTTTTTTCTTCTGTTTTAGTCTGATCATTAACTGTGAGAGCCCTGTTTGTAAAAACATGGCCAACGTCTACTTTGAATCATGCCCGCAGTAAACGACCATTCAAACATCTGTTTAACAAATAAGGTGTGTTAAAGTCACACACATGTTTTCATTGTTCTTTGTATGTTTTCTGACTGAGATATAACAATTTTTATCATTTGAACTTTGTTTAGCCTTTGTTCTAAGGTTTATTATAACTAGATGTTGCCAGAGACCTTTCTGGGTGGAGTTTCCATGTTCTCTCTGTACATGCATGGGTTTTCTCCGGGTACTCCGGTTTCCTCCTACAGACCAAAAAACATGCATGTTAGACTGATTGGTAACTCTAAATTGTCCCTAGGTGAGAGTGAGAGAGTCTATGGTTGTTTGTCTTGTTTGTCTCTGTGTCTCTGTGATGGACTGGAGACCTGTCCAGAGTGTCCCCCACCTCTTGCACTGTGACTGCTGGCACCAGCGACCCGAAAATGAAGAAGCGGGTAAAGATGCTGGATGGACGGGCGGGCGGGCATTCTATCACACCTGGCCGTGGCACTGGTATTGTCATGAACCATTTATGGTAACTCTTATCCCCTCTTATCCCCTTAGTCTAGGCTAAAATCAAACCTGTTCAAGCCTCCGCTTCCCACCATCATCCTTTCAAATGCCCGTTTGATCCAGAATAAGTGGATGAGATTTGTCTGTGACTGGTGACACAGAGGAATTTGATTACCTTCTACAGCATGATTTTTATGGAATCTTGGCTGGACTGTACAACTCCAGATGTGGCCATTGAGCTAGTAGACCTTGCTACCTACCGAGCTGATAGGACTGCAGATTTTGGTAAGAAGATCGGCAGAGGCTTGTGCATTTCCCTCAGTGATTCTTGGTGTATAAACATCATAGTAGTCGACAAACTCTGTTGCCCTGACGTAGAATTCTTGCTGCTTAGATGCAGACCATCTTATCTTCTTAATTTACAGCCATGTACATTTGTGCTGTATATATTCCCCCTTGTGCCAGTACTAAGTTAGCCTTAACATAGCTCTATGACAGCATAAACAAAGGAATGGCTACACATCCTGACAGTGTCTTTATTGCAGCCGGGGATTTCAATCATGCTGACATAAAGTCTGTGCTACACTTGTTCCACCGTAATGTGAAATATTCAACCAGAGGAAACGGGACCCTTGATCAGGTGTATACTAATGTAGTGAACACATACAGAGCCGAGGCATTTCCCCATCTGAGACTGTTGGACCACCTATCGCTCTTGCTATATCTTAGGTATATGCAAAAAAACAGAACCACTAGGCCAGTAGTCAGATCTGTCAGAACTTGGCCAGGACGCCATTGCCAGGCTTCAGGACTGTTTTCACACTATATTCTGGACTGTTTTCAGTGGCCAAAGGATACTGACATGTGGGTCCCTAGATGAATTTACTACAGTTCTGGATTACATCCATTTTTATGTTGCCACTGTTACAACCTGGAAGCAGTTCTGGGGTTTGACTGTGCTGAAGGATTTGTCATGGGGCAAAAACATCACATCAGCCAAAAACATCATGTCAGCCATTGGGAAGGCCCAGCAATGCCTCGTCTATCTGAGGAGAATAAAAAGAGCAAAGCTTCCACAGAGGCTAATAACGAACTTCTTTCACTGTGCTGTAGAAATGGTGCTTATATACAGAATGCTGGTGTGGGTTTCCAGCTGCTCTGAGGCACAACAGCAGGCTCTTCAAAGGGTGGTCAAATCAGCAGTCAAAATTGTTGGGACTTGCCTCCCGAATCTCAACACTTTTCTTTTCCCGCTTCCTGTGCCAAGCTCACAACCTCATTCAAGACCGGCCGCACCATTTGTTCCATTAACTGTCCTCTGGACAAAGTGTAGATCCATCTGTACCAGAACTATCAGACTTGTCCACAGCCTGTTCCCCCATGTGGTCAGATTGTTGAATGAACAACCCACTCCTTATGTTTCTCCCTCCATTACCCAATATTACATATGATCGTTTATGTCCATACATTTACAGAAATGTGACTGGATTTGTATTGCTGCAGCACCCTCAGTACACTTTTCAGCCCTCCCTGATTATGCACCTTAAATAAATATGAACTGGATAATGCATCGCAGCAGCACACCACGCTTCCCCAATGCCCTCCCCAGGTGACAATAACAAATACTTGTAATGCATATTTACTTTGGGTTGGGATTTTTTTAAATATATATTTTTGGGTGGGGTGTGGGGGTGGTACTAGAAATTGGGCACACTACTTATTCTGGGATTTGTGCTGGTGGTACTTTCTTAATATGTAAGGCTGTGGATGCACCAATGTTATCTCATTGTTTTATGACGATGACAGTAAACTATTCAGTGGAATTGAATTTTATCTACTTTGCAATACATTCCGAATAAAAAATGTGGACAGTTTGCTGTGGTCCAACTGTGATCCAAGGCGGGGGACGGGGGTTTGGTCTCTAAGGGTAGTTCAGGTCTCTTGTAAATGAGTCCCCGAGGCTCAATGGGATTAACCTGTTGTTAAAGGTTGAATGAAAAAAGTGGAAGACGGAGTTGCAAGCTGTGTTAGTGCTGGCAGTACTGTATATGTACGTAGCTACTCAATTTTACTTACCAGCTCTGCAGAACGGGAGCAGCTTTCAGTTCCAGTTCGACTGTTCTGGTCCAACTCTGTTAATTTCTGCAGACGTACGCTGCAGCGATGAAGTCCACAATCAATGTTGTTAACTCTCAAACCTACTAATTTTAACAACATATTTATATGTAGCTACTAAATTTTACTTACCAGTGTGTTCCCGCCTGGAGGTCCATGTAGGCCGGCTAGGAGCTTTCGGGTTCACTGCTGAGTCTAGGGGTCTGGTTCTAGTCTGGTTCATTGCAGCCCTTGAACACCAAAAGCACATTTTGTGGGGGTGGGGGCCAGACCTTTGGTTGGCCGGCGCAGGACCATAGGTGGACGATTGAGTCAAAGTCTGGATGAAAAAAGTCTTTATGGGCTACGGAAACAGCGCCGGACCTATGGCAGCGCATCCCTGCTCAGAAGTCCTTGTGAGCCGGCAGCAAGCACACAAGATTCACCGATAGGTCTGGAGGTCTGATTCTGCTCCGGTTCAGTGGGTTCCGTTCAGCTTCTCTGCATCCTCTGGGCGCCGAAGTCACTGTAATAAGCGCCAAACTTTTTCCGATCACATCAAAACTTTCCCTCTATGTATTTCAGCAGAAGGAACCGGGACTTCTGGGTGGGGCCCTGTTGATTTCTGGGAATTGTAGTAATTATTAGAGGGAATACAGTGTTGACCTATTGAGAGAAAACCACAAAATGGTGGCGCCAGTCCAAAGTATTTTATTTTTTCGTTAACTTTACTGTACAATATTGTATCCAGTACTGTCCCAATCACGTGAGTATTATTAAAATTGACAATCGTGTCCTGTACAATTTTATTTTGTACAATATTATGTACTGTATGTTTACAAACCGATAGAGCAAGTCCCCGAAAGTCGAACCGCAAAGTAGCGAGAGACTACTGTACAGACAACAATAAAAAGCGATTAAATTAAAAATAAAGTCTTGTTGTAAAACAATAAAATCAAGGTGCCATATAAAACAAGGTAAAATACTAAAAACAAGAGGGAGGAGATATAAGAAGGTAGCAGACCAAGGAGTGCTTTATAGATGAAGATGAACCAGTGTGAGAGCCTACGTATAGATAATGATGACCAACTGACCAAGGAGTACAGGGTGCAGTGATGGGTACGGTAGTTACAACGTTATGAATCTTAGCGCGCCATGGTAGACAGCGTCCAACATCTGCAAGAAGCTCAGCTGGTGTGAGCATTCATGTAAATAATGTCACCATAGTCAATGGCCGATAGGAAGGTAGCAGTTACAAGGTGTTTTCTGGCATTCAGAGTTAAGCAAGATCTATTTCTGAAAAAGAAACCCAGTTTTAATTTAATTTTCTTTATCAAGTTTTCAACATGTGGCCTAAAAGAGAGGTGTGCGTCAATTAAAATTCCCAAGTATTGTAAGAATCTACAAACTCAACAGGAACACCATGTATGGATGAGATAGGAGGAAGAACTGCTGGCACACATTTTCTGTTTGACAAAAATAACCCTTGAGTTTTATCAGCATTTAGCACCAGCTTGAGATGGAACAAGTCTGACTGAATGATGTCAAATGTCGACTTTACATAGAAGCTGGAAAACCTTGGCAACTGTTACCTCGATAATAAACAACTGTATCATCGGCATAGAGATGTAACAAGGCGTCAGGAATGCTTTGATCTACATTATTTATCTATAATGTAAAAAGAGTGGATCCTAAAACTAAAATCAGAAATTAAATTTAATTCCAGCTTACAAGTGACAGCAAGCCTTGCTGCCTGTTTAACTGGTTAGTCGGTACACTGAGTCTCCTTTACATTCTAGCACCACATCCTGTCTTTCAATGAATTTATGCATTTCAGATTCTCCCAGCTCTAATTCTGTCTTTGTTTGCCGACTTCCTTAATGGTCTTTGTCATCTTTCCAGGGGCCACAAACGAAAGCGTGACAAAGAAAGAGAGGAGGAAGACGTGGACACTGATGATGTAGAGAACAAACAGCAAGGAGATGACTCAGCTGAATCCTCCAAAGACTCTAACGAGGAAGAAGAAGGTAGCAGCTCGGAGGCAGATGAGATGGCTGCTGCCTTGGAGGCTGAGCTGATTGATTTTATGTGACAAGAACAAAAAAAAAAAACAAGTCGCTGTCTCTACAGGTGGTACTTAAAAGATGTTTGTTCTGGAATCTGTGTAATTAGGATGTGTAAGCCATCGGTGTGTCATAAAGAACTGAATGTCCTTCACAGAAACGTGTTGCTGTGTACATAAAGGCAAAGGTTTTGTAGCACTTCTATAGAGACTTTTTGGCAACAACTTTTTCATTTTATTGTAAAATGTCAAACTGCAAGAGACATGAAATTTGATAATTTTTTTTCTACTACAAGTTTTATACTGATGAGGTGTGTGATATTGTAAATGTATATTTTGCTGATTGTTCTTGCCAAAGAGTTTGAAATGGTTTGCCAAGGTGTGCAGCTAAATATTTTACTCCTGACTTCCACTTTTCATTTTTTTAAGGCCAATGCAACCAGACCTAATCAAGACATTTGAATGTGTTTCCTCTTCCTTCTGTTTGTATATTTTAAATTTGTGTGATAAAAAGCCACTCATCGTCGTAAATGTATTGTTTCCATACTTAATTCTTTGAAGAAGTTGGTTGTTGGTCTCAGAGTTATTTAATGCAGCCTACTTTTCTGTTGGAGGATTTTTCACCGTTTCCAAATGATTTGTTCACTTTTCCTGTTTTTGTATGAAGTTGAAACTCATTTTAAGAATTTTTATTTAACATTTCTGACAGTTTTGGTTGATCAACGCAACTTAGAATGTTCTGGTAAAGTCCAACATTCTGGGAATTAGACGTTATTTTACCTAAAGTTATATAAGTAAACAAAGTATATTAAAAAAAAAGGCATTTTTCTGTAAAAATATAAATTTATTTTTTACTGTTGTTGCCGAGGTTTAGAAGGACTCGATCATATGTGATCCTGCACAAAGGTCAATCAGAATCAGGCATTTGTATTTTTTTTTAATGAGAAAAAAAAAACTAGTTGATTAGAGAATGATCCACAGACGAGTCATAAAAACGTCTCATTTAGTGGAAAACAGACCGAGTGTTTACACAGGTGATTTGGTTTCATGTTGCTTTTTGAGAGTATACATTTTTGAACTTGAGTTTTTTTGTGCCATTAAAACAAAAAAGACCTTTAAGCCAGCAGTAAATACTAGATACTCCGCTTAAAGGGTTTTGTTACACATTTTTGTTTACTGTCGTGCTAAGCTAACTTGCTGTTGGCTGCGATGCTCAAAGGTTTGAGTCATTCATTCAACCTTTATTTATACAGGTTAGTCTCACTGAACAAGAGAGACCTGTTTTAAATGACATATCTATGCATCAAAAAGGGTTGCAGGTTTATTACAAATTAGTTTTTAATAAAAGGTGCCAGTGAAGATCATGAAACAAAGAAAACTTGACAACTTGGAAAACATCATTCTACATAAAAGCTGAGCCCCCGGCTACGAGCAGAAGTGCTGAAATAACCACACTGTGCCGATAGCGCTAATTTATTTTTTATTTCGGCTGCTCCCTTCTTCAGGGGTCACCACAGTGAACTATCGTCCACGAAGATTTGTCGATTGTTTTTACACCGGATGCTCTTCCTGATGTAACCACAGAACACCGAGCTACCACAGCCCTCTGTGTGGAGCAGAGAGCTGCCATCTAGGGCACCTGGGGAGCAGATGGTGGTGGTTGGGGGGCCTTGCTCAGGGGCCCAGAGTGGGGCAAATCAGAGTGGAGGCAGGTGTGGGTGCTTCACCTATCCCATGGGTTCCTAACCCTGCTCCTTGAGGAACACCATCCTGCATGTTTTAGTTGTGTCTCTGCTCCAACACCTGATTTTAATTAATGGGTGATTAGCAGGCTTCTGCCGAACACAAAGAAGTAATTAAATCACTGAATCAGGTGTGTTGGAGCAGGGAAACAACTAAAACATGCAGGATGGTGTTCCTCAAGAACCAGGGTTGGGAACCACTGACCTATCCCACCCTGTTGTCCGTACCAGAAGTTGAACCAGCAACCTTTCAATCACAGGCCCACCTTCTCTAACCTCTGCACCACCACTCCCCCAATAGATGCCGCTAATATTCGGCAAAATACAGAGAAAGGACAAACTGATTAGCTAAAGATTTCCCAAAACTACTTTTTTAATGCACCCTTTACAATTTCCTCTGAGCAAATGATCAAAGCTTATCGGTGAAGGACAGATGAAGAAAAAGAATCATTAAACATATGCCTACATTGTTTTGCTTTTTAGGCCAGAAAATAATAGCGTGCATAAGGCAAACGGGTTGCTGTTGTCTTTTCTTCAAAGCTTTGTATTTTTGAGTCAACGTGAAGTGTCCCATGACCTGAAAAGGAAAAAGTGGGTAAAAGAGGTGGAAAGATGAAGGAATGGATGGGTGGGTGGAGTTGTGTGAACAAAAGATGCAAATGCAGCAGAAAAACGATATATATATATATATATATATATATATATATATATATATATATAT